ATATATATATATATATATATATGTGTGTGTGTTTTTATATGAGAAGATTGTAAGGAATAACTTAAGAGATTTGAAATATATCCCTTTCCAAAAGTCAGGATTCAAATCCCTCTTTACTTAAATATTCATAATTTTCAATTTTCATGCTTACAAAAGTCAGGATTTGAAATATATATATATATATACTTGCTTCAAAATTATCTTGAATTCGTTACTAAAAAAACTTAAATAAACACTATGAAACTCACAATTGGTTTGTTTAATTTTTTTAAAAGCGTTTTTTAAAAAACTGTTATACTATCTGTGTATTGTAATTAAATTTAGATTCTAACATAAATCTCTCAATCAATTCAAACCTACGTCAGGTTTTATTTTTTGGCTATAAAAAAAAAACTCAAAAGTTGAAGTCGGACGACATGTTTGTATAGCTATCGGATGTTGTCTGAGGATTTCAAGTTGTTGAAATTTTACTATTATTGTGAATAAGGTATCATCTGATGGCATTTCTGTATTTTTTGAGCAATTGATGCATGAGCAGCTGCCTATTAGGCACTACCAATGAAAAGCTCAAGATGACTGTTGTTTTAATGTTATCTTTATTTTTTTTTATTGGTTGTACCTATTAGGAATTACTCTCTTTATATAGCTTCTTGTGTTTTGCATTTCCAGTGTTTAAACCTCAAGTGCTTCTTCAAATAATTTGGCCCAAAGGGGATTGACTCGTGATAGTGATGTGCAGGTTATAAAACAGGTGGAAGTGAAGGTCAAATCACAAGAAGATCGTGAAATTTTTACCTAAATAATATTTTTTAAAAGAAAAATTACACATTTAACACCTGTACAAGTTTAGGGTTTAGGGTTTAGGGTTTAGCGGACTAGAACTTTTTATTGTGCATGATCAGAATTCGGTTTTTGGGGAACCGAATTCTGAGCTTCTATATATTTTTTTTCTTCTCAGAATTCGATTCCCTGGGAACCGAATTCTGAGTTATTTTTATTTATTTTTTTCGGGTTTGTGGGCCAATCTGGGCAAATGTTGGAAGTGGAACGGCCCGTTCCGAAATCAGAACGGGCCGTTCTGCTTAAACAAATAGAGTATTTTTTTTTAAATTAAAACGGGTCAAGAACGGTCCGTTCCGGAATTAAGTTTTAAAGCAAAAAATGACCCCTGAAACGGCTCGTTTGAAAAAAAAAATTAGTTATTTTTTTTAACCTGGAACGGGCCGTTTTTGTTTTAGAACAGCCCGTTCCAAAATAGAAATTTAAACAATTTTTTGAATCTGGAACGGCCTTGGAACGGCCCGTTCCAGGAACTGTTTTTACGAATTACAACGTGGTTTGGAACGGGCCGTTCTAGTTTTGGAACGGCCCGTTCTAGGCAAACAGTAAAAACGCTGGTTTTCCAATAAATAGACCCTCTACCCTTCATTATTTTCACACAATTTCAGCTTACCTTCTCTCCTTTATTCCTTCCATCTACCCCTTTTGAATCACTTTCTTAGAATCACGTTCATTTCCTTTAAACCTTTCATAAAATGGCTTCTTCAATCTACATTATTGTTCATTCTGATGGTTCCATTAACCAATGTCCGAATGAAGGAATCACCTTCTCCTCTCCATCTGCAAAATTAGTTCGTATCAAGAGAGGAATTACTCTAGAAAGGCTTCAAAGAGTCATCCACAAAAAGCTACATCGACAAGATTCTGAGAGGGTGGCTAGCATACATTTTTGGTACCCTATTAGACTTGGCCCAGGGGTTAGTAGCTATACCTGTGTTGAGTTGACGGATGATGAAGACGTTGAGGCACTTTTCAATGTTCACGATTCTAATCAACTTCAATCAGGTATTGAATTATATGCTACATTTACTACAGTTGAATCACATGTACCACAAGTTTCACCTTCACGTTCACCTTACGAATGGGCCAATGACTGGTAAACCATCAACTCTTAGGCCAAGTTGAAGTGCAACATCCTCCAGTGTTATGGTGCACTCTCCAGTTGGAAAATGGAAGGTATGAGTCTCAGGTCTCCATCTTTCAACCAAAGCTGTGATTAATGCGTGATCCACTTTCAGATGTCTGAGGTTTGCAACCCCAGAAAAATCAACTTCCTCTAGTATAGGAACAATTAGAGGGTGGGGTTCTGGCATTGAATGACAGTAAGAACAAATAATATTCTCAGTCTCCTGCAATAATTACCAAAATTAGTACTAATTTGTTACAAGTTCATTGAAATTTAAAGTAAATAACGAAAGTGCTAAACTTACCGTTCTACCAATGAAGGCAGACATATGCTCATTTTGCTTCCACAATAACATTTTTGATATTTGGTTAATGAAAATTGAACCAAAAAAAGATTTTCTTACTATGAAGGTGAATCAGAAGTAGTACAGGGAAGGAATAAAGGAGAGAAACTGAGCTGAAATCGTATGGAAAAAATGAAGGGGAGAGGGCCTATTTATAGGAAAACCAGCATTTTCACTGTTTGCCCAGAACGGGCCGTTCCAAAACCAGAACGGCCCGTTCCAAACCACATTTTAATTCCTAAAAACGTCTTCCGGCTCGTTCCAGATTTAAAAAAATGTTTAAATTTCTATTCTGGAACGGCCCGTTCTAAAACAAGAACGGCCCGTTCCAGCTTAAAAAAAATAGCTCAAATCATTCTTTAAAACGGGCTGTTTCATGGTAAAAGGTTTAGGGTTCTAGTCCAGTAAATAAACTTGTACAGGTGTTAAATGTGTAATTTTTCTTTTAAAAAATATTATTTAGGTAAAAATTTCGAAGATCGTTGGGCCCTGAAGTTTCTTAATTTTACAATTGGTGTAAATCAATTATTATTTGAAGGTTTGACTCGTTAACTGCCAATGTAAGCTAATGAAATTGTACGAATTAATTTGCAGGTTCTCATAGGTTTTGATAAACCATAAGTGAATTTTTTACGGAAATGGAATTTTTTCAAAACAAAATTACCAAAAACGCATCTGTTACACTTTATTTACACATTTAGCATCATTTACTGTTTACACTCAGAATTCGGTTTCCTGGGAACCGAATTCTGAGCTTCAAATTTTTTTTTTGTGATCAGAATTCAGTTCCCGAAAAATTGAATTCTGAGTAGTTTTTAATTGTTTTTTTGATTTGTGGGCGAGAGTGCGCGAATCTTGGAACTAGAACGGCCCGTTCTGGAATCCGTTCCGCTTGCACACGTAGAATGTTAATTTT